CCTCTCCTCTCCTCTCCTCTCCTCTCCTCTCCTCTCCTTTCCTTTCCTTTCCTTTCCTTTCCTTTCCTTTCCTTTCCTTTCCTTGCTATCTTTTGGTTCCCTTCCTATCATTTCATTCCCTTCCATCTCTTTCTTTCCCTTGTCCTTTGCTCTTCCCTCCTTCCTTCCCTTCTTCCCTTTCTCTCTCTTCCTTCCTTCCTTTCTTCCTCTTTCCTTCCTTCTTTACCCTTGAAGTCCAGGGATTAAACCCAGGACCTTTGCACTGAGCTCCATCCTCAGCCCGTTTTATTTTAATTATTTGAGACAGAGTCTTGATAAGTTTCCCAGGCTGGGCTTGAATTTGCCATCCTCCTTCCTCAGCCTCCGAGAGTGCTGAGATTACAGGTGTGTGCCACCACACCCAGCTTCTGATTCTAATTTCTTTGTGTATCCCCCTTACCTGGCATTATAGCTTAGATCTGGAGAGTCCCCTAAAAGTCTGTGTGTTAAAGGCATTGTCCTCAGCTTGGCAGTACTGGGAGGTGGTAGAAATCTTTAAGAGGTGGCCTAATGGTAAGTCTTTGGTCATTGAGGGTGTGTCCCTGAAGGGATTGTAGGACTCAGATCCTCCTTTTCCTCCCTCTTTTATTCCTGGCCATGAAATAAATGGGAGGCTCTGTGTATGCTTGATGCAGCACCAAACCCAAAGAGATGGGGCCAACAAGTCATGGATTAAAACCTCTAAAACTATATAAACTTTTAGAGCTTTCCTCTTTATACACTGACTAGCTCAGGTATATTTGTTGTAGTAATAGAAAACTGACTCACACATCTGGTCAGGTTAGGGTTAGCAGTGGCGTGTGTCAGAGGCACACAGGATTCTAATGACAATGTTATTATTAAATTGTGTTGAAACATTTCATCAGTTCTCTAAATCTTAATAAATAATAGATCTGAGTTGTTTCACTTGTGACAGCAAGCTAGGAGCAGGATATTTAAGGAGGAAAAGATTTTTGTGAGGCAGAAAGAAGAGGAAGCCCTCTTGGAACATGGAGTCTGACTGGTGGAAGGCTGGCTGTGACTTACAGAAAGCCCTTTTAGACCTCGTGGCGGTCCAGAAAAATCCCATGGAAAAGGTATTGGAATTTTAATGTTAATTTCAATCTATCACTTCTAGTGCAATGCATGGAGAAAATAAAGACACTAAGGTATATTTGTAGTTGTGGGGAGCCAAGGAGGTCCTAGTCCACCTAGTATAATGGCTAACCAAAACAGAGGCCTCAACCAGGGCCATACCCAGGTTTTATTTTGTGACGAGGGAGTGGCTGAGGGATAAGTGACTGAGAGTGGGAGAAAGTACGTGAGCACTGTGAGCTGGGCTAGGTAGGAGGCCTAAAATCACCTCTGCAATAGTGATATGCAGAAAGAGTAATCTACATAACACTATTTGAGGCAGTACCTAATGTTTTGGATGCTTCAGCTTTGATGCGTAATTTTTATGCCATAAAAAGTCATCACCTCTTTTCTTGAGGCTCGGTCTCACCTCAGCTAGTTCCATTTACATTGCTTAAAGCCAATTGAGGAGATAAAGACAAAACTTAGCCAGCTCTACACATGTCAGTACACAGAAATGGGGCCAGGTTTAGCCAAAATGGAGACTATTGCTTTTCTTTCAAAGAGAGCCATCCAGGTGGTCCTCCACAGTGATTGAGAGTATCTGTGGGGAGGATAGAAGCTTCTGGAAGGAGAAAGGAAGATATTTAACAAGAATGAAGAAAGGGGTAGAGACATCCTTGCTGGACATCGCCGTTTTGGCTAACCTAGGCTGCAGATTGAGCAGTGGGCCTAGGAGAATGAAAACCACAATGAGGAGGAGACAGCTACCTTGGCCTCTTGTCTGAGCTATTCTTACCTAAAGCAATTTTATCCTTGGGACTCGGGGGAAACTTTCCAGTACCAATTGCTGAGGAATACGCAGCTCAAATGGCATAATTTCTGATATCTTCCAATTCGCTGGGTTGGCAATCTGGGTGGCCCTTCAGTTGGTTCTACCTGGGGTCACTCGCATAGCTATTGTTCCCTAACAGCTGACTGGGGCTGCTGGGCCTAGTGACCTTAAACTGGTGCCTCAACTGTCTACAGTATACCTTCCCACCCTCTAGGAGGCCAGACGGCGCTTCTTCACTGCATGGAGGTTCTGAGGTGGTGAGAGCTGAAGCTTCGAGTCCTCTTAAGGCCCAGGTGTTGGAACATATGTGACATACTTCTGCCCAATTCTCTGTCAGTACCAACTGAGAAGGTAATACAGCGCTATCATATGCCAGAACAGAAGGAGGCATGATTTCCTAGGGCCATTACCGGAGCGAATCATGCACAGTAGGGATATTCTTTCTACAGTTATTACTTCCAGAAAGTTCTGTTCCCCCAGCCTAAGGGTTTTACCTACAAATGATAGGAATCTTTGCATTTTGGGGGTCACCAGGATAATTAATGGTTCCTGGTCAGTGGGGTCAGGAAGGGCAAAATTAAGCCAGAAATTTTCCCACTCTTTGCTTCTTTCCTCTCTAAAAATCATGGTGTTGACCTGAAGCTTATATAAGCAAAAAGAAAAATTATTTGACACTATAAATTTATTTGTAATCTTAGATCAAATATGCTTTAGAATTGGAAGTGTATCTAATCCTCAAGACTCTTCTGTATCCATTGTAGAACCCAGCATACCACGGCCCAGGAACGTATTGAATGATACAAAAAATATAAGTAATTTTAGTCTTAACTTGTCTCTTTAGAGGAGCACAAAAGAGGATTTATTTGCTACCCAAAGTACCCTCTCTATCAGTTACTCTGGTGCTTAAGCTCAAGTGTGTCAATCTGATTGGCTTGGGAGATACTTCTGGGTGTGTCTGTCAGGGTCATAGAAGCATAGCCTGGGGAGTCTATGTTGGGTCTCATTCCTGCCTCTCTGACACTATTCTTCTGCTCCATTTTCCAGCAGCCACAGACTAAGCAGCTTTGTTCTTCCATGCCCTTCTGCCACGAAGTTTCTGCCTTGGAGACTTCTAACCGTGGACTGACTACCTAGAAACTGTGAGTCAAATATCCCTTTCCTTTTTAAACTTTCGGGTGTTGGGTATCGCGCCCCAGCAACAGGAAAGCTGACAAATACAGGCACTGACTCTTTCCCACCTTGAAACTGCTCCTCCAGTCTTTCTCCTTAATCCCATTCTGGCTTTTCTTCTGGGTCTGGCTGTGATAGTCCCAGACACTAGGCCTTCCTCTTCTCTTCCCTCTATCTTTGGTTTTCCACATGCATTTCTTTTCCCTAGAAGAGTCTTTCAGCTTTCTCTGATGGAATCCCCCCTTCTGAATCCTTCTCATCATTGTTTAGTTGTTGACATTTGATGCAGTATAATTATTTCTCATGGAGCTGTCATGTATACGGAAGATACCCAGAGGTAGCTGTGACCTGCATCTCTTATATACCAGTAGACTACTCCCTATCTGAAATAACGCAAAGTGTCCTCAGATGTTGTCAAGTGTCCCCCAGGAGGCAGAAGCATCCCCAGTGGAGAAGGCCACTATGCCAGTCTATATAATAAAGGCACCAGGAGAGTAGGACGGGTGCTCAATGTTGGCTTCAAATGAGTCAAAAATATCCCTGTACTTAATAACGTGTGTCTCTCAAAGTGTCATGACCAGCAGTATAGTCAGGAGAGGACAGCTGTCTCCAACATGAGTTAAATTACTTGTGCTGTGCTCCAGCCTGAGAGAAACACAGGAAGCTAACAGGAGTAATCACCTAGCACTGTGGATCCCACCTTGAGTTCAAGTTTGAGATCTGCCACTTGTTATCAGATTCCACAGGTCTAGGCTGGGCTGTGAGTAGTTTCAAAGGCTTTGCATGTGTTTCCCATGTGTCCAACTGCTTAAGAACCTCATTAGTGTACCTTTGACTGTGGTCCAGGACCACGTAGAGATCTGTATCCCAATTACTATTTAATAAACTGGAATCTATCATATTGAGGGCCTAGAGATTTTCATTTTAAAGACATCCTAACATTTGGCTTTAATAAGGACAATAAAAAATTAGAAATTATTTCTAGATACCAGACAATAATAAGCTTTCCAGGTTTTTTTCATATTGGTGACATGGTATTATTATTGCTATGCCCATTTGAAAGATGAAGAAACTGAGGCTCATGGTAATTGTGTGACTTTCTCCCAGGCCTGGTATGTTTGGAAAGCCAGGGTCCAATCCAAGGAGTATGCCTGTAGAGTCTTAGTTCCTAACCATTGTACATTCTACCTCCTCTTGGAACACCGACTTCTGAGAGCATTGAGATTTGAATGATTTCTGACTCCTGACACCTTGCAAATTTTCAGATTAATTACATTTTTCCAAGCCATTTGCCTGTACCTGTAAACAGTGATGGCTTTGTGAAAAAGCAATTTTGGAAGTGGTACTAAGGCAAAAGATGCATTCAATGAAATCAATATGAGAAGAACTTGGCTTCTGACCATGAGCAGCCTTTTTATTAAGCATCTTTCTCCAGGCTATCACGGCTAATTCATTGCCATATTTCATTAGAGGAACTAACTACAAGGTTATAAGTAAATACTTTTCCATCAGAAGGAACAGTTAATTGGAAGTTTGATGATGAATGTTTCCGATTTAATGCTGATTGATTGTGCATTCCGAGAAAGCACGTGGAGTTTTGTACCCTCCTTTCCTCTTTTCTTTTCTCCTAGGGGGCAGTTTCAAACAGCCAAATACAGAAGGGGCATTTGTTTTGGTTCTCTTTATTAATGTTTTATCTGTTCAGGATAAATCACAGAGAACGAACAACAGGCTGAGCATTTGCAAGAAGAGTTCACAAAATAAAGTCAAATTTAGAAATAATTTGGTTACATCATGTCTAGTATTACTGACAATATTCAGACAATGTAATTCCTATTACACCTGCTTATAGAAGAAAAAAAACCATTCAGTCAGTAACCCTAAATTAAATTAACGTTTTCAGTGTATATAATTTGTTGCTCAGAATGAAATATAATTATCATTTAGGGAGAGCCATATGGAAGGCATTACCAGCCTTCACTAAGTCTTGGGTTTTAATAGTGATCCGTGACTCAGACTACTTTATCCAAACAGGTTGTAAATTCTGAGCAGAGCAAGATGCATTTCAGTCATTTTTATATTAATTCTGAATGAGGAATTCATTGTCTTTCCAAATTATAATATATTAGAGAGCAATTTCCCACTAAACAAATCAAGGACGCTGAAAAATTAGCTCTCTGGGAGCTGTTTTCTACATCCTATTTTAAATCTCTCTCTCTCTCTCTCTCTCTCTCTCTCTCTCTCTCTCTCTCTGGGATGGTTTTATTATTCTCAGTGTGTATAGTAATAGACATCTGTATTGCCATCTGTATTCTCTTCTTTAAAGTGGAAAGTGAACTCTGAAAAATGTTAACTGTTCAATATAATTTCATTCCGGGCAGAGTCTGGAGCCTGCAATGAGAGCTCACATTTAAGAACCTTAATTAATATTTAGAACATCATCTCCCATAGCTACAACATTTCTCTCTCAAAGATGCTCTTCTTGGGGAACCACAACCGTAAGTCATGGGAAGGGCAAGGATTCACTTAATTTGTACCTTGTGGGTGCTCAAATGTCTTCAGAATTCATGGGTCTGTTATATCAATCTAAGATTTAGATGCATATACATAATCTTGTAGAATAGAAGGGAAATGGTAATAATACAGAACTCCATTGAAAAGCAAAGCAGGGAGAAAAAAACCAAGACCAGAAGCATGTTTTAAGAAATGTTTGCTTTGCATTCTCAAAATCTACTTCTCCTGTCCTCTTTTTTTGTCCTTTATGCATATATGTGGGGAGATTGTTATATGATATGTGCTGGTATTTCTCATTCAACCAATCCGGCAAGCCTTTTGATTCACTGTAAAGATTAACTTGGTCTCTGTTTGGTTTATCTGGACCTAGGACTTTCTGTGCAATGCTTATTTTTGTGGCTATTGACAATGCAAATTTCTGGCTCTGTTTCACAATACCTGACTTATAAAAATGAATTAGGAACTTACTATCTGATGGGCTGCAGTTTCTCTGAGGAAGAGGTGCTGGTGGACACTAAGACCAAAACACCCTCATGTTGAAGAAGAATTTGTCCAGAGGATCTCAGGAAGAAGTTTATTGAATTTTAAAGGATTTCTCTGAGGTTGCCCTGGTATTTCTCTAAGGTCATTCACTTGGCAGGATCTGCACCTGGGTTGGTCACTGGACACTAGAATATTTCAACTCCATGGTTCCCAAGATGGGATAAATCAATTGACAGATGTATGACATGAAACTACCAGCCAAGTGACTTATCTCCCATGGACTTGTCCTCTTTTGTAGTCTGAAGGCAGTCTTAATCCAACTTTAAAGTTGGATTAAGAGGACAGAAAGCCAGGAAGAAGAGTTTTTATAAGGAACATAAGTAACTGTCACCATGTAAAAATTTTCTGTACTGTTTCCCTACTAAAACCAATCCTCCCAGTGTATGTCAAAATGAACGCAAACAGCCTTCTTCAATTAAATGGTGAAAGTTGTCTTTATACCAAGAACAGCTAAATCCAAAGCCAAGTCACAGACGGTCATGGAAATCATCTGTAAAGCCATGCTGGTACTAAGGTTCTATCGCAGACACAAACCAGAAAGTCATAGTTTCAACCAAGCATGAACATGGCTGGGTAGTAGCAGAATCTTGCAGAGGGGTCCCAGCGGCTTCAAACAAAGATCATGAGAAAATTCACGGTAGATCTTCATCAAGGTAGGCAGAAGAGCACATTTTGTTTCTTGCCCTTGTTCCCTTATGGGTAGTATTTTAATCATAAAAGGTTTTTTTCTAAATAAAAAATATATATCGAAGTGCATAATCATAAAATATATATTTTGGAGAATAGCTCCAAGTTAGGCTCAGGAAAAAAGACTTTTCATATCACTTGATCTCCCCTTTCTATATTTAAACATGGTTCAAATGGTTTGTGCTTATAATGGTTAATTTTGCATGCCTACATCTTGTAATCTGAGCAACTACTTTGAGGACAGCAATGTGCAATGCATTACCGGTTGTTAATTTCTGATTATCCTGTTTTGAAACTGTGTCATTGTTTTATTTATTTTTTATCTTTCTCTCTTTAAAATAAAAGCAATGGAAAAGTATTTAATATTTCTTTCTTGGTGAGTCGGAGTCGTGAAGCACAAGGTTGCAAAAAAAGTCCAGAGAGTCTATCTTATTTCTTCTATGTTTATATATAAAATGCTTAAATCAAGCTTATTATGTAGCAAATATTAAAAGTATATTTATTGTTGTCATTAACGTGAGAAATAAAGCAGGTTATATGTGTAAGTTTTTTAGCAGAATGCCTGCCACACAATACATGCTTAATAAATGGTACTGATATAGATGAAATATAATTTTTATGATAAATATATAATATCATTATTATTCTTTGCTTGACACATTCCCTACTTGTCCCCTAAAACCTCCACTTCATTTCATCCTCAATAAAAACTAAAAGCAGAAATTCCATTTGACCCAACTATTCTCCTTGTAGGCATCTTTCCAAGAGGGTTAAAGACCCCCTATTATAGGAATACATGCACACCCACATTTATAACAGCACAATTCACAATAGCTAAATCTTGGAAGCAGCCTATGTGTCCATCAACAGATGAATGGATAAAGAGGATGAGGTACTGACACACAATGGAGCATAAAGATAAACCTGAGTCATTGGTAGGAAAATGTATGCACCTGGAGACCGTAATATTGTGTGAGCTAAATCAGACACACAATCTTAAATATCACATGGTTTCTCTTATATGAGAAACCTAAACTGTAAACAAAGAGAAAAATACAAGCTAGATAATACAAAGTGGGGAGATAAATCTTCCTCAAATGGGAAGAAGATCAAGAGATCAAGGGAGGAGAGAGAGGAAAGGGGACGAGAAAGAAATGAAGATGTGACATGTGCACTCACCAGCTCCTCACAAGGAATGCAGACATTATATATGTACTAATGTACTATATATATGTGTACTAAGGTACTAATGTACTATATATATACTATATGTACTATATATATATACTACTATATATGTGCAAATGTACTAATGAAAAAAGTTAAAAAGTTTTCCCCCTTATCCCAAATAACTATTCTATCTTCCATGGCACTGTGGTATTTATATATTATATGTACTTATTTAATTGTACAATAATGATTTGCTTGTTGTGATGTCCATTTTCACAGGTTTCTTGAAAGCCAGGATCATGGTGTCTTTAGTGTAAAACTTCTAACAAGTCGTGCTCCAGGGTCAGCCACATGGTAGGTGCTCAACAGACGTTTGTTCATCTGAACAAAAAACCCCAGATTGAGAGAGAAGTATGGCCAGAGGAAGATGGGAATGTAGAAAATGTTTTTCTTTGAAAGAAAAAGTCTCAGGGGCTTACTCGAAAATAGGCCAACTGTTCACAGAAACGAATGCCAAAAGCCGTGTACGAGCACCTCAGGCTGGGTGCAACCCAAACGCTAGAGAACGGCCCAGCCTCCTCCCGTGTCTCAGCAGCTGCAAAACAGATGGGAGCAAATGTGGTTCAGTGTCGCTGTTAGGCTGAGGAGAGGGGCCCGGCTTCGGAGGGGAGAGCATGCTTTCTGCCACGTGCTTGTTCGAAAACGTAATGTCCTTTAAAGTTCCTTTCCACCAAACCTAGGCAACCTGATGTGAGCTTTGGTGGTCACGGGGGAAAAGGGTCTAAAATAATCTACATCTGACCTTCATGACTATGAAGCTTCGATGTGAGCCATCTTGTCTAAAGATGTCCTTTCATCTTTCCCAAGGTCTTGCATTTTCTTCAACCCACAAAGTGACATATTTGCAACAAATGTAGTCAGAGTGGCAGGAAGGATCTGAGCAGAGAGCTTTGGTCCAGAAAATGTCCCTTGATGGGGCCAAGTCTGCAGAAGTGCAATGGTTTGGTACCAAGCCGCTGCCACGCAAGGAAAATCCCAAGCAGCTGTGTATGCCCCCCCCCGCAAGCCCCCAGGCGGAATAAACAGCCTCCATCTCCTCTGCTGGGCTGCAGGAACAGTCTCCACGTTTGTTCTGCTTCCTCCTGGGCCCCATCCCCAGGCCCCAGACAAGGGTAGCTTTCGTTTCTTCTCTCGCTTGTGGCCTCACTCAAGCAGCCATTTCACATGACACAGGATGCAAACCCAGCGTGAGGTGAAGTGACACAGAGAGCTGAAGAAGAGGGTGTCTTCCAGGAACTCCCAGTCTTGCTGATGACAACGAATGTAAATGTGCATTGCTGCACAGTTGTGATTGGTTCCCAGAGAAAAGCATGCTCGAGTTATCATTGACAGGGGGGTAAGAAGGGGAATTGTACTTAACTTTCCTGATAAATTAGTAAGATGAGGGTCTTTTGTCCAGTGGGGGACACAGGAGGACACTGGCACCAAGTAGGAATTCTAGAAAAGGCCTTCAGGGTCAGAGTAGACTTTATAAATTGTTCAAAGTCATATCAGTTATGTGATAGAGATTTCCTTTATGAGGAGCTTGGGGGTGAGTGGTTTGTGGGATTTTAATGGCATTTGTCTGGCACCATCATAATCTTAACTACCTCCAGGTAGGAAGTTCTTGCACCTGCACTTCTAATAATCCCAAAAAATGTTCCTGCATGAAAACCAAATGGTTGGACCAAGGATGTAGTTTAGTGGGCATATTACCCAACTGGCAAGTGCAAGGCCCTGAGTTCGATTCCTGGTATCCAAAAAAAGAGGCTGGCTTGCTCATTCCTGGAATAGGTCAGCAGAACGTACATCTAAGCTTGACATCACAGGTACCTGCATCTTAGGCAGCCATGTGTGCTCATTCTGGGAAGTTGCTCCCGGCACTGTAAAAAATATACAAGCTTGTGGCTTGTGCAAAGGAAATTCAAGAGAGCCAAAAGGAAGAATGAGTTGCTTTACTCTCTCAACACAAATTACGCCAGGAGAGTGAGGGCCATAGAGATGACCTATGGATGGAAGAGTTTGTGGACATTGTCTAAGTTCTGGGTAGTCCCAAACTACAATGGTTTATTAAGGTTGCATATTCTTGTGCTTTCCTGACATTCAGACTCAGCACATGTTATGATTTAGATCTAAAACGTGCCCCCAAATCTCATGTGTTCAGGGGTGGGGCTTTCGGGAGGGGACTGAATGATGGGGGTGGATTACTCACTAGTCGATTAATACATTGATGAGTTCATAGCTGACTGTGCTATCCGAAGGTGGGGCCGGGTTGGAGGTGATCACTGGAGGTGTGACCTGCAAGGGTGTGTTCTTACCCCAGCTCCTCCTTGCCTTCTCTGCTTCCTGGTCATCGTGAGTTGAGCAGCTCTCCTTCACCGTGCCCTTCTATTGTGCTCTTTCTGCCTTGGAGTCAACATACCATGGACTGAGCCCCCCAAAACCATAACTTAAAATAAAACTTTCCTCCTTTAAATTGTGGGTGTCAGTATTTTGTCTCAGTAACAGGAAAGAGACCAATATAGCACATCTCTGTGTCTTTCAAAGTCTTTAGGTTGTAGCACTTTCCAAGACAAACGTAGACTCTTCCTGACTTACAATGGCTCAAACTGCATGTGTATATGAGTTCTTTTTCTTTTTGACTTTACAGTGTTGCTTTTGCTTTTTGTTTTGTTTTTTTTTTGTTTTGTTTTGTTTTTCATTTTTCTTCCAGTACCAGGAATCGAACTCATGACCTTGCACTTGCTAGGCAGGCACTTTGCTGCTGAGCTAAATCTCCAGCCCCTTGACCTTACAATGGTTTAAAACAGACAAAGATTCTGTAGAAACTGTATTTTAGATGTTAAATTTTGATCTTTTCAATAAATTACATGAAGTAGTCCAACATTGTGTTATAAAATAGGCTTTGCAGAAGATCATTTTGCTCATCCATAAGCTAATGTAAGTATTTTGAGCCTATTTAAGTAGTCTAGGCTAAATTATTATATTTCATAGGTTAGGTATGTGAAATACATTTTTAACTTATGATATTTTTAATTTATGTTGGGTTTACTGGTACATTTTACATTGTAAGTCCAGGAATATCCATGCATTCATGACCAGTAGCGATCATCTCTTACTGAAATATGCTGATATATGATGATGTTATCATGTCTTTGTTTTCTTTCTTTATCTCATTTAAAAGATTGTTCTCTTTACTGGGAAGATAGAGAGGGATGGAACACTGGGAAACAGAGAGTGGGAACAGATAAGGAACCTAGAAAGACAAAAATTCCATGTTACCACAAATCATACGGGGAACCTTACAAGCAGGAATATTTGAGGAGATTTTATCCATTAAGAGTAAACACTAAAAATGTGAATATTATAAATCCAACAATTAAAACTTCATACAACCTGTAGGTACAACGAAATTTTCTAGCCATAGCACACAGTTGGCAAACTTTTTCTTGTAGAAGTTTACATAGTAAATATTTTGGCTTGTGGGTCCTAGAATCTCTGTCTCAACTACTCAGCTGTGACACTGAATCTCAAAAGCAGCCACAAACAACACATATGTCAAAGAAATGCAGTGAGATTTGGCCTTTTGGCAGTAGACTGCTAATCAATGCAAGATAAAGTAATAATCGCTATTCTACTAGTTTAACACATCTTTTGATCCAAAGGAGAAAAATATTTTAGGGCACATTTCCCATGACCTTACCAATGTTCACAGGCCATGATTTTGTACTAAATCAGGGAATTTCATCTTTTTCCTGAGATAGAAACTTTGGGGCATGTATGACCCCCCCAGTGTCTCACTAATTCTATAAATTTAGATCTCATTTGTTTAAGGAAGCAACTTTGTGTTTCAAGAGAACAAAAAACCACTGGATTTGGGGCCTTTGCCTAGAAGGCAAGGACCCCTCAGACTTTTTCTACAAACACAGCTATGAACTGGGGGAAATGACATACAATGGGCCCAGGTGACTCACTTCTACTTTTTCTCCTGTGAGGCTTCTCCTTATCTCATTAGAAAGCCCACTCTTCAGAGGACATTTGGTTCATTCAGTTTTAAGTTCAGTGACATCTTAGGCCAGCCAGTGAGTTACAGACCTAGTCTGCACATGGATAAAATCAGGGCGAGAATGTTAAGAGAATTTCCCTTTAGGGAATTCCATATGGGCATATTTCAGATACTTGAAGGGCCAGATCTCTGGTCTTTGTTTTTCCCTTAGCAGAGATGTACAGAAATAACAGAATGACTTAGACAGTTAGACAGGTCAGGTAGGTCAAATTAAAATAAGATAATCTCTCTGGAGCACAAATATTTCCAAGCTACAGCCATTGGCCTATTTATTTAAAATACTACTAGATAAAGCAAAACTCCTGCATAAGAAAAAGATCTGCAAAGGCATTCAAAGGTGATTTCAATAGGATTTAGGGGCTTTGACAAGTTTTAAGGGTCCCTGCGAATCTGGTGAGACATTTCAAAAAAGGATTTTTTAAAACTATGATGAGACTCCCAGTGAGGACAAGTTAGACAATATCAGCCCAAGAACCTGACAGTTACCGTAGCAAGGAAGGGAAGTTTGACAGATGGAATCCTTTTCTGATAATCTCAACAATGTAATCTGCAAAGGCAAGTGAAGCCCAACCTTACAGATTGTGTGCCAAGTGTAGGGGTGGCCAGAGGCCGTGCTGGTCCAGAACGCTTGTAAGTCATACTCTTGTTTTTCCATGACTTTTCTGCCTCTAAAGAAGAACCGGAAACATTTGTCCAGATTGTATTTTGTAAAATTTTACCTAATCTTCAGAAATAGGAAGAGACGGTGAGAAATAAACATGTATTGTTAGAAAATGTCAGAATATTGTACAAAGTCTGCCACCAGCCCAAATCCTTTGCCTATCAGCTGTTAAAATTTCTTTTCTCTATTCTTTTAGTCCTGTTCCTCTTCCAAGTAAAATTTTTACATATGGCAAAATAAGTATTCGAAATGTGTTGGGCTTGATGACTTTTGAAATGAAACGAAAACACGAAATCAGCTAGCGCCAACCATAAAAATATTACTAGCGTCTCAGAGATTTCCCTTGGGGCCTCTCCCTGGTACCACCCATTCTCTTAACGTAGGTTACTTTGTATTGGGGATACTTAAATGAAGGTGATTTTCCCATCCCTTCCCTGAGGATTTGGCAATGTCTGAAGACCTTGCTGGGTTCCACAACTGCGGAGTGGGTGCTACTGGCATCTAATGTAGTGGGGATGAGGGTAAACATACTTGAAGATACAGCAGAGCCTTCTACAACAAATAGGAGCCTGCTCCCAAACATCACTAACCCCAATGCTGAGAAACCCTGCTTTCTGTAAAAGGAACAAAGCACTATTTTTTTGTGTGATTGGCTTCATTTTTTCACCATGATATCTGTTTCCATTTGATCCTGCAGTTACTAAATAACTACAGGGGGTCAGGGATATAGCTCAGCAGCCCAGTGCCTGCCTGGCAAGTGCAAGGTCATGAGTTCGATTCTCAGTACCAAAAAAAAAACAAAAGAAAAGCTAAACTAAAGGAGATTCCATATAAGCTTGTTGGCATCCAAATTTTGTATTTGTTTTTACGGAAAATTGTATTGCAGTGATGTCTTAGATCAGGGCTTCTCAACCTTGGCCCTGTGGACATTTTGGGCCATTAGTTTCTCTTTGGGGCCTGTTTTGAGCACTGTAGGATGTTTAGCAACAACTCTGTCTTTTACTCACTAGATACCAGTAGGAACACTCCCTCCTCCATTTATGACAATCAAAACTGTCTCCTGATATCGCTAAATGCCCTGTGAAAGGCCGAAAGAATTGCTCCTGGTCAAAAACTAGTGTACACTAGGACACATTCCTTTACCAAGCAAAATCTTCCAGGATTCATCTATTAATCGCCCAGTTTAAATAAATGCTTGGTCTTAGAAGGCAGGCAGAGGAAATCTTTGACATTTCTTCTGTTTAAGACACAAGGCAGATTTAGGATCTGGAATGAACGTAACAATCAATGAAATTATCTGAAGATCAGACTCTAAGCATCTGAGACCTGGCTCTTAAGTTCTGTTTTCTAGCATGGGCCTTGGGAATGTTTAAAAGTTAGCTGTTGAAGATAAACTTTTCAATTCAAAGCCTCCGTCTGGCATGGACACAGTTTAAGTCAGGGATGGCTGGAGGCTGCTATCTGAGGGCATTTCCCTTTGGGTTAATGTTTTGGCAGATAATGTTTCTATTATGCTTGAATATTCCATCCCAGGATCATTCTCAAGGCTGAAGCTGTTGAATATCATAACACCGGAGGGAAATCAGCTCTTGGTAGATAGGGAAGGAAATAGCCACACTTTATTGAACACTTACTATCTTCCTGGCACTGTGTTAATCAGTCTACATGCTTATCTTTCTTAATCCTCACAAGGATCTAATGGGGGTAAATATTACTACTTCCGACTTATTAATGGGAGGACTGAGGCTAAACAATTTGACTAAGGCCAAATAACTAGTACCTGGTAGAGTTTGTGTTTGAACCCAAGTGTGGAGGGTTAAAGGAGGCTGGAGACTCTTCGGCAGTTCTCTCTTTGGTAGGTAGGGCTGATTTCCCCTGTCCTGGAATCTAACCTGGTTCTGTGACTAGTTTTGTGGATAAGGCAGGTCTTCAGAGAGCTGCACCTCTACTTTCTCTTGTTTTAGAATGTGCCCTCATATTCAGGGTGGTAAGACACCATGTTAAAAGTTACATTCTTTGGGGGCTCCCATATTAGGGGTGGGTGTTAGGAAAAAGGAGAGACAGAGAGAGGGGGAGGGAAGAGAGGGAGGGAAAAGAAACAGAGAAGAGAGAGAGAGAGAATGAACAGACGTGTATGGAAACAGCAAGGGGTCAAAAATATGAAGGAACTCCTCTTGGACCCTCCAGCCCAATGGCTTCCTAGCTGCAGGATGCTGAATGAATGACCCCTGTAGATCCATGCCGAGTTGTAGCATCAGCCTGCTGAGCTCTGTCCACCAACAGCATTATGAAGAAGTAAGGTGGTTGTTGTTCTAAGCCAGTAAACTCTGGGGTAGGTTGTTACACAGCAATAGATAAGCACATCCGTAGGTCTGCTTTATTCCAAAATACTGGGCAGGTTCCAGGAAGCTGAGAGGTCAGGATCAAGGTCAGGGGAACTGACTTTGTCCTATTATCATCCATCCATGAGGGGAACGGGCTGTGCTCTCTCCCAGGCCCTTGGATTCTAGACTGAGTTTGGATTACACTGTGCTCACAGCTCTAGGATTGAAAGATCCTCTCAATAAAGACACCCCTAAATCTCTAGGCTGTGAAGCACTGCCAGTACTGTAGACGGGTTTCTCTACTTCACAAAGTCCAGTTCAGGGAGCCCTGAAAGGCTTATTTTTGAGGATATCTCAGGGATCCATGAACAACTGAATACTGGACTCTAACCAGACAAAGCTAGTATTTCTTAACCATCGGAAGCAATGTCATATAAAAACACTTGAATAATTATAGTTATTATTTATTTTTACAGTTAC